CGGCCCCGCCCCTTCCCCAACGGCCGGCGGCGCGCGTGGCGGCCGGCCGGTCCTCGCCTCAGGGCTGGCGCCCACCGCGTCCCGCTCGCCTGACGGCGGTGGCCGCTGGGGCCCCTGAGGTGCCTCGCAGCCCCCGCTCTTCCCGCCCTGCCGGCGCCTAGGTGCTTAACACCCGCCCGGGGCGGGCTGCCCCAGCCCCTCGGGGATGGGGCTGAAAATAAACTCGCCCCCTGCCCCCCGGGACCGGAGGTAGGGCGGCGCTGGCAGGGCCGGGGGAGCTGCCCCGAGGCAGCAGGGCTTGCACCAGAAACGTTCGGGCTGCCTGCCCCTGATCGCAGGCCCTCCTCCGCCGCGGCCCTCAAGTGCCAGGGTGCGGGAGGTTCCGTTAGTGTGGGGGGCAGCTGCCGGTGAACGCTCTGCGGGCGCTTTTTGGTTGCTTTGCAGAAGGGAGCAATGATTTTTCGGCAGCTTTACGTCACAGATCGAAAGCCTTTTGCTCCAGCTGGAAGGTAGTGTGGGGTCTGCCACCTACCTCTCTTAACTCCTCTCAGGAAACGTGCTTCAGGCCTCACACGGGAAAGGAAAGAAATGAGCCAGAGAAAAAAAGAGTACAAGGGAATTACTTCTTCAAGAGCTGTATCTGCAGTTAGCTCACGCCCTTGTGACCATGAAACACGGTTCACAACAATACTATTATCGAGTGCTACGCAAGGGGAGAGCATCACTCCCACATACATCTAAGGAGGTTTATTCCCAGCGCAAGCAATCGTCCTCACAGGATTTCAGGAAAGACTGCGTTAGCATGAAGTGTTTTTGGTCACGTTTCTCACCCAAACAGAGATGCAGGCTGCACGCCTGGAAAGTGGGGCATCCCTGTCTGGTGGTGCATGAAGCTGATGCAAAGGAAGAGAACCGCACAGCTCTGCAACCTCCTGAAACTTGGGGGTGCATGTGGGAGTCCCCTCTGTCCCCAGTGCTTTGCCCATTTCTGCGGCTATCCCCTGAAGTCGGTCACACCGCCTAGGAGTTTATCTACCATTCCAGGTAGCTTTAGATCCTTCTGCTGATCTCTCAGGAATGCTGAAGAGATTTTATTGTCACATTTATAAAGTGCTTTGAAGCCTTTGGGCGAAAGGGAGAAGAAATGTAAAGCTCTAATTTAAAGTACTTAATTTCCAGTTAGTATTTCTTGAGAGAGTGAATGCCACGCAGGGCACTGTTTGATTCAGATGATTAGTCATCTAAGCTTCAGAAGAAATTTTACAACCAATTGGAAATCCTTTGTAGTTTCTTCACTAGCGTCTTGGGTTTGGTTGTTTTGATTGAGGATCGAATGTAACACGCTATTGTTTGCTTTTTCCTGCCAAAGACTGCAGAACAAGTGTGTACTGTCCTCTTTTGACAGTTGGAGCTCTCCAGGGCACACAGTTCTCCATACTGATATTCTGGTGTTATCTCATAGACCAGACTAACAGCAGAACAGATGATTTTATCTCCTCATACAAGCCTGCACCCTGCTTTACAAGTCTGTCACTTCAGCATCAGATCCAGCTTCACTTTAAGATTTGTTCTTTCATTTATAAAGTCACTTGTATTAAAATGTCTGTTTTCAAAATTTTGATCTGACACATTTCCTGCTTGGCTTGAGGAGTTTATGCTTCATAAATATTTTCTTATGGCATCGATTCTACAGTTTAACCATAGTTACATTAATCTTAAAGTTTGTGCTTTAAGAAACTCTAAATTCTTTATCCTAAAATGCATCCTTAGGGTAAAAGAAACTGAGGTTCTGACTGATCCCTACTGGATTTGCTATGTTTCACCCAAATGGAAGAAAATATTTACTTCATTTTATATACTAGCAAAACCAGAAGTGTCTCTGCTTCCTCGTAGGAGGCTGGCCCAAAACCAGGCAGCCCTTAGTTTGCCTGTGTGTTTAGAGGCCAAGCTAAATCCAAGATGCTCCCCAAGCATCTTGCTTGACAAGCTGATTTTGGGAATAATTACAGAAAACTGATTTGTCTCCTGACAGGCTCTCTCCCGTAGCAAATATTTGGTACGTTTAACAAATGTGAGACAACTCCTCTCTTCTTGTGCCAGCTTTGCTATACCATGCAACAGGCACGCGAGCTGGTGCCAGCAGAGCAGGTTTCTCCATGAAGCGCAACGTAGTCTCTTGGAGAGGTCCCAGCTGGAGAGTCGAAGCAAGACGTGTCTGGTAGCGCTGCGTCCGACCGAGGCATGGCCAAGGGACAGTGCTGTAGCCTGGTTTGCCTCTTGTTTGGAGAGCCACCAGGCAGTGCTGAGCTGCCCTTAGTGGCTCTCTGCCTGCCTTTCCCATAGCACAGCTGTCTGGTGAGCATGGAATGGACATGTAACATCAACTCTCCTCTCTTTCATGGTGCTGCCAAGTCAGATTTGTAAATACAGAAACTTGCTGTTACACTGCAGTGTCAGTAAATGCTGTGATGTGCAACTGGTGGACACGCTCAGTGCGTGAACACATATAGGAAGGGGAATAGCTGTGAGATGATATATTAGGAAAAAAAAAAAAGGGTGTTCAAACTTTGAGAGGAGTCAGGAAGTCCTGGTCTGGCATAATTTAATAACAAACAACGAAATATTTTTCCAGAAGAAAATTTTGATTTTACAGAGATGGTTATTTGAGCTACAGTGTGGAATCCTGGCTCATCTGGTATAAAATAGAGATTTACCCAGAGCTACGTGCCCAGGCAGCCCTGGGGCCCTGAGCACATCCTCCCCGCTGCTGGAGGTCTGGCTGCCGGGGCTCAGGGCCCGCTCGCAGCCATGGGGAGCAGTCCCAGGCAGTGCGGCGGGGAGGCCACCACCAGCACTGAGCCCTGGCCCTCGGGAGCTGGTTCAGCTGAGGCTGTTGTCCTTGGCCCCCGACTGAGCTATGGCTATGGGCCCCCAGATCCTCCCCTGCACCCTGACCCACTGGCTCACACTCCCAGCCCCTTTGGCTCCCTGGCCTTGAGGGAGCAGCCGGCCCTGGCTGTTTGCTGGCATGCAGCCAGTATGACTTCTAA